TGGTATAAGTCAATCCCTACATTGGCTTCTTGATGCAATCAAACGATACAGTAAACATGAGATGTGTGAAGCCACTACCAGTATAAATGATGTACTGCTTTACAACAAACTACTTTTATAAGTAGAAAGAGTACAATTTCAAATAATGATGAGTACCCTAAATAAACCAATACAACCATTTATTACCAAAATTCCGTACACATGATTGTACATACCATACTTTTATATGACTGGCAGCACAGTGGTTTGTTTACACCAGCATCACCACTAACACATGAGTCACATGCTACACTATTACTAGATGACAGGAATGTTTCAGTTCCATTATAATTTTATGGGATCACCACTTTATATGTGGTCAGTCACTGACTGGTACATCACTATACAGTGTATAACTATAACTATACAGTTATTCTATTTTATACAGAGCAACCTTCAGAAATAACAAATTTTCTTTTTTATGGAGTCTACTCATATACAGATTGGGAGTACAAGAGCTGATCCTTAATCCCTTTACATAAATCCGTCTTCGCAAATACTCAAAAGTCAATGCAACTAACTCTGCATGCCTCCTAAGTTGTACCAAATAGGTAAGCACAAGCTTGAAAGATCAGAGAGAACATTGACTCAAGTGTTTGGCTCACAGGAAGACTTCTTAATAAGTACCACATATAAATAAAATTAATGACTAATCTGTTTTTGATTATCTATAGATGAAGAATTTAAACATGTATCCAGTATGGTACCTTAAAATGTATTTAAAAAGTTAAAAAGTATTTGTGAAGTAAATAATTGAAATTCCAAGTAAAAATACTTACCAAACCTTTATATCCTATCACAATGCAAATTATTATTAATATTATAATATGTTATTCAATCTGTTTGTAGAATTCAAATCAGTCCTTACTCGTTCCTAAAATGTTTCTACAGTTCTTCCCTTTCCACAAACTATATCATTAACCCTGAATAATTTCTGGACAGAAGAAAATAAACATTAATTGTGATGTTTTAAAATTAAATTCAAAGTATAGCTAAAGCTGTATTTTGTTCTAAAATAATACAAAATGGAAGTACTTGGTGCATAAACCTTTATTCATGCTCCAGGGTATTCTTTTTAAAAAATTTTTTAGTTATCAATGAACCTTTATTTATATGTGGTACTGAGAATCAAATTCAGCGCCTCACACATGCTAGGCAAGTGCTCTACCACTGAGCTACAGCCTCAGCCCCCAGGATATTCTTTTTAAAAAATATTTATTTAGTTATAGTTGGACACAATACATTTATTTTATTTATTTATTTTTATTTTTATGTGATGCTGAAGATTGAACCCAAGGCCTCGCACATGCTAGGAGAGCACTTTATTGCTGAGTCACAATCCCAGCGTCCCCCCCACCCCAACCAGGGCATTCTTTAATACCATTTTTGCCTCTTTTCATCTTACCTGTAAAATTAAGGCTTGAATTTATTGAAATCTGCAGCATCCCACTATACTGCAGGGTCAGAAAGTCTATTGAACTGGTAAATCCATCAAGAGATAACAATCAATTCTGTGTTGAGTACTACTAAAGAAAAGACAAGAGTCACTTCACAAACTTTGGAAAATTATTATGAATGCCAGTGGTTACCCACTTTTCTGTTTTATTTATTTTACTTGTGGTTACTATAAACCATGTTAGCCAGCTGATTTTGAAACATTCTAATTTAATATTCACTAATTTTTCAAATATAAAGCATCTACTTTCCTTCTTATATCTATTCTTATGTTCATTTAATAAAATGTAATATCTTCTACATATCAATCCTTTAATATAAGCAAGACAGAATAGGACACAAAGGATTCATATAATTTTGGATCCATATCATTTTTTATTCTTTTAATCCATATGCTTACAGTCTAGCCAGGGAGGCAGATAATATCGTGTGCTAAGTGCTAGAAAGACTCCTATATTTCTTCTATTCCTAATCTAATATTTAAACAGAGTACTTGTTTAAAAGTATATACAGAAAGCCTGGAATCAATAAGAAATACAACTATTGGGTAATAGGAAATTGGCAAATGATATGAACTGTTAATGTATAGAAAAAGAAATACAAATGACTTCTAAACATAAAAAGATGTTCAATCCCCCCCATAATAAATGAAATGACACTTTAGATAAATCATAATAACACTTTCACCTATGGCAGTTTGAAAACAACCCAAAAGTGACAATATAGTCTTTTGGGGAGCATGGAATTCTAATGCGCTCACACATTACTTCTGGATGGGTAAACTGTTACAGCTCTAAGGATTTTATATTTATACATATGTAATACACATATATATTTATATATGTGCAAAATGATGTGTGAATTTTTCATTGCAGAATTATCTTTAATAGTAACTTACTGGAAATAACAAAAATATACATCAGAAGAGGACTTGTTAAATAAAGTCTCTTCCTCACATTCTTTTTTGACTCATGGTAGATTAGGAGTTTATAAGTTTTGAAGCTCTCATTTTTTTCAATTTATCATACTGAATAATTGCTCCTGCCTCAGTCTCCCAAGCTGCTGGGATTATAGACAATTCAGTAAATTTTAAAGTGGGTTTAAGTAGACAAACAATCCTCTGCAATATTACTAGGTAGTACCATAAAAAAGAATGACTTTTATGACTTTTGCTGGTAAGTGGATGGGTCTGGAGACTATCATGCTAAGTGAAAGAAACCAATCACAAAAAAACAAAGGTCAAATGTTTTCTCTGACATGTGGGAATAGAAGAGGGAGAGGGAATAGAAGTTCTGTGGATTATACAAAGGGGAATGAAGGGAAGGGAGGGGGGACAGGAATAGAAAAGACAGTAGAATGAATCAGATATAATTTTCCCATGTTCATATATGAATATACCACCAGTGCAACTCCATACCATGTACAACTTCTAGAATGAAATCCTAATTAGAATAAGTTATACTCTATGTATGCATATCAAATACACTCTACTGTTACATATATCTAAAAATAACAAATAAAAAGACTACCAAAAAAGAAAAAAAAAAAAAAAGCAGCAGGCAGTAGAGCATACAAGTTGTAGTTCAGAGCCTGATCTCTACATCTTTCTACCTATGTGAACTTGGATAAGATACTTCAGCTCCCTGAACTTGTTTCCTCATTGGAAAATGGAGAATAGTGCCTACGTCACAGGATATCAGGTGGATTAATTAGGCAAGGAAAGTAAAGCATGAAGCTTGGTGCAGACACCTATAAAATATTCAGTAAAAGCTATTTCTAGTGGTAATAAAAACATTTTATCCTGAATCACAAGATTTATTCTATGACCTACTTACTCAACTACCAATCTTTATTTGATGCAACTCCACAAAAACAAATTGAGATGTTCCTTCACTTACAGGAATGAACCACCTAGTCTAAAATTCAGCATACTAAAAGGGCAAATTTTAGTTGAATGCGCCCTCTAGTGGTGCATGTTATGTGCAAGTACCAGGCACCTACATAAGATAAAACCTAAGGTGAAAGTCACCAAGGTTGGTAATTAGAATCTGAAGCCAGCTGGTTAAGATCATTGTTATGAGAAACACTATCATATATCTCGTATAGCTCATTATTTTCAAGAGCTAGAGGACTGTTTTGTCTTTTAAAACTTTCTAGAATATTCACGAAATTTTCTATGCTAAATCCTATTATTCCTGTGGTACTGACTTTAATCTTTCCTCTTAACTGGGACACTTTCTAGTTTTCTCTAATGTTGCAAAGTAACTATTCAGTTAAAAAATACATTCGGTTAAAAAATACAGTACGAAACCAAGCACCAACTATGTACCAGGTAATGGGGATACAGTAAACAACTTATTACACAATTCATTATGCAATATCAAAATTTGAAAAGTGCCATCAGGAAGTTTAGACTGCCATGAGTACACAACAGAGAATTGGTTTAGTATAGGAAGAGACTGCAAGGTGAGGCTAGTGAAGTAGGCAGCTAAGGAGTTTGAACTTCATTCTAAGAACAATGAAAAAGGATGGAAGGGTTTGAAGTACATTGCATGTATCTGATTTGGCAATCTGATTTACACTTTCAAAGTTTCACTTCAAAAAGGCAGAGAAAGTGAATTTGACGGAAAACCAATGCCCAGACCAGAAGCACTGCTGGTGGTGAGACAAGAAGAAAGCTGGAACACGGGAGGTAGCAGTATTGATAAAAAGAAACAAAGTGAGCCAGGGTTGTGGCTCATTTGGTAGAGCGCTTGTCTAGCCCTGGGTTAGATCTTCTGTAGCACATTTAAATTAAAAAAAAAAAAAAAAAGTGGCAGAGAGAGAGAGGAAGTGGACCAATATTTAAGAAGTAAAATAAATGCAGAATGATGTGGGGATGGAGTAGTGGTCCGAGTGAACCGTGTGGCTGTGATGCCATTTTATCACTAGTACAACTGGTGGTGGTATCCAGGAGAGAATAATGAGTTGTTGAGGAAAGTAGGTTTTACCTCTTAAACTTCCCTGGCCACAAGGTGTAATATTTCAATTGAATGCTCACCTAGCATTGAACAGGACCATACGGTACCTCCCCCATCAAATAGAGCCCTCAAATGCTTGTTGTTGTTAACTTTTATCACAGTGACTTACTCCCACTGAGTCAATACCTTTACCTTGCCTCCGTCTTAAATGTTTATAACTCCCGCCCACTCTCAATTTTGCCAGATGTTTGTTGTTTTTCGAAGTCCAGTTCAAGCCACAGTCTCAAGGAACGTTTGGACATCTCTTTCCCCACTCCAGTGTTTCTCCCACTAAGTTGTAAATTCACAGACAACACAGATATGAAGATTGTGCACTCTTCATATCTGGGTCATCGGCGTCCAGAGCAGCACCCTTCAAACACCAGGAAATCCACAATCTTTTTCTCGTTTACGCGCTCAAAAGAATCTGAAAAGCCCACAACGCCGCCTCTCCCTACAAACGGGAGATGGCTCACCGGAAATGACGCTCTATCAAGACATACGTGATTCCGGTCTCGATATCCCAGGTGCCATAGGGGGGCCGGGCTTCTCTGGCTTGCTAACTCGGCTTCTCTGGAGGAATCGCGCGAGGTAAGAAAGTGCGCGTGGCATACTGGGAATGAGATCCCCGAGTCCCTGGATGTCGTAGGGAACCTCCTGTTGATTTCCCCGGATCTGGCCGGACCTAAATGGAAACGCGGGAGGGCGGAGGAACTGGCTGCTGGATCCCTGAGAGCCCCCTGCTTCCAGTGGGGCGGAACCGCAGAGATGTGTGGCCTGTCAGGGGCCGGCTCTGGGATCGGCCTCAGCTGTTGGGGCGCTGGCCGCCGCGGACCCCTCCAGGCTGGGCTCTCCCACTTCACCCCCTGATACCCAGAGCGCCTCCTTCTTATGTACTCAGGGGAACAGCTCTAGCCGCTCTTGCCAGGCGCAGAATCTTCGGCACGAGAGCATGTAAAAATGGTGTGTAGCGTCGCCCACCAGTTCTGCGGGTCGGCCCCTCGGCTCCTGTTGGTGCCCTGTTTGAGACTAGGGAGCTGAGGCCCTCACGCTGATTGGCACACAGGATGCTGCCCTAAAAGGGATTACCTAGTAGGAGATCTGATTGTTCATTGATGGTGGTTGATGTTCTCATTCACCGCAGAGAAAAAACTTTTCCAAATTGTTACTTAGTATGTAAAGTAACCGAAACATTGTTCCGTTTTATGTTGGAGCCAAATAATTCTTTGTAAAAGAAATTACTCCTTTAAAATGTGTATGCATCAAAATGAAATCTCTTTTTCTGAATATTAGAGTATATTTTGGGACACAATACCAAGATATACTTTTTAGTATTAAATATTTTGTATGTTTTAAATCATAATTTAAAGGAACTAATTGAAGATTATTTAAAACTTCTGGGCTGCAAGCTGCAGATACTCAAATTAGTAAGAGAGGAAGACTTGATATCACCATGTGACTATAAACACTTTTGTATACCAGTTTTATTTATAACTCTGCCAAGAAGGGTTATAAAGATAAATCACATTAAAGGACAAGATTTCTGGATTCTTCTTAATCTGCTAGCCCAACTGTTGTGTCGGAAGACTAAGAAAGAAGATTGTGAGAAAGTAGCACAGGGAGTTAGAAAAATAAACAGCCAGGATTTGGGAGGAATAACTTTGTTCATTCACTGTATTACTGTGTGGTTTATAATTTATGAAATAATTTCTTGGCAAGTTATTTTCCAGTTTTAAGCAAGTATATATGCTTTTTATTTCGACCAGTGTGGTGGCTTCCCTGGCAAGTGCCAGATTTATATTAGAAGCATATCTATACAACATATAGAATTTAATATATGTAAATATCTAAATGCAATTAAAAGTATTTTAGTAATTAAAAGTTTAACAGTTACCGATATACCATCTCTTGTTTTTTTTTTTTTTTTAATTGATGACTAACCAGACATGCTTATCTTAAGGACTGATAAGGTACCTCTGATGCAACATGACCAGGTGGGCACGAGTTACTACCACACATAATAAGAGACCCTTGCCTGCAACATCATGGGAGGACATGAAGAAGGGGTCCTTGGAGGGAACAAGCCAAAATCTACCAAATCGCAAACAACCTGAAGCCAACAGACTGTCCCTTAAAAAAGTTGCACCCCAAGCAAAACATAAAAAGAACAAAAAGAAGAAAGAGTACTTAAATGAAGATGTAAATGGATTCATGGAATACCTAAAACAGAACTCACAGATGGTTCACAATGGGGACATGATAGCAATGGACAGCCAGGAAGTAAGGGAAGAAATTGCAGTTGCTTTAAAGAAAGACAGTCGACGGGAAGGAAGACGATTAAAAAGACAAGCAGCAAAGAAAAATGCAATGGTGAGATAATCACTTCTTCCATGTTATTTACTTTATATAGTTAGAAATTGTCATTCATATACTCACACATACACATATCTTAGAAGGGTCTAATTACTTTTGTCCTAAATTTATAAAGCATTTTTTTTAAGGTCTTGTACTTCAGCACATATATGCTAGGCACTCGATACATTGCTTAGTCATCACAGCACTACAAAGATGATGGCAATATCCCCATCTTATGGGTACAAAATACTGAATTGTAGGCAGGCTAAATAACTTGCTGTAAGCCAATTAACCAATATCGGGTGAAATTCAGTCCCAGACTTTAAAACTTATGTTCTTTACCCTGTCTTCCAATTGCCCTTTTTCAAATCGATATTTAAAAAATGAAGATTAGGTACCACAGGTTAAATGTGTGTAGTTCCCATTACTTGGAAAGGATGGATGTTCTTTTATCTTTATCCATAAAAATTCAAGACACAAGAAAAAGAGATCTAGCATGAATCACACTAGTAGTAACAGCAGAGTTAAAACTCCTTGAGATTTTCTAGTAATTGTTCCCTCTTTTAGCAATACTACATTCTGAATAATGCTGGGGGCAGCAGGTTTATTTCTGCAGTGCCTAGTCCTAGATTTTAAACTATGTCAAACACAGGAAATGAAATACTTAATATAATTTTTTCCATTCTCTAAGTGAATTTCCCATCTTCTACCAGGATGCTAAAAAAGAATCAGGACATATTGCCAGTTATTACACTTTGATTTTTTTCTTAGAATTGTGAAATGGAGAGCACTGTTTATACTGGTACAGACTGTATTATTATATTTAAAATTGACTATTTAGGGATCACACTGGTAAAGTATCCCTTATGGATAAATTTGGATAGAAAATAATCATTTTTATTTGGATTAGGATAAAGTTTTGTTTCACTTGTAAAATCAGTTATTTTAAAATATCTTTAAGCCAAGAAAGTTAATCTAACTTGAAGATAATTTAATCAACATAGGCTGTATGGTGGACTGCAGACCATTTGAAGACATTTACTGTTATACTTCTTAAGAAAAGCTTTATGCTTGTAATTAAGGACTAATGATGTTGTTTTTCACAAAAGGAGTGCTTAATAAATAGTATATGGTTTGTTTTAACCTACTGTCAATTCATTTTCTTGCTGTTTTTAAAATTCCTCATACTGTGTGTCAGTTCTTAAAGGCTAATAAATTGATTAAAATACAAAGATTTATCAGTCAAATCTCTATAAGCTAATTTACATTAAACCAAGAGACCAAGACTTCTCATTGTGGTGATCCAATTTTTAGCAGTAACTTTTCCTTCAGTGGTAGAATAAATATAGTCTATTCATTTAGATCAGTTCATTTTAAGTGTAAAAGTTATTGTAGACTTTAAAGGGACTCATTCTTCTCCAATGTTATTAAACAGGAAAAAAAAAAAAAAGAAAGGACAGAGGTACAAAATGTGTTTTATTTTGCTTGTTGAATTTGCCTTTTTTAAAGAAAACCTGTGCTTATTAAACAACAACAAAAAGTTAAATGACTATTTGTTACCTAAAAAATACATGTACATTTTTCCAGCTTAAATAAAATAATTCACATATCTTTCATTTCTGATTATAATTGATGTTCTGTTTCATTTTGGCAGAAAAATATGTACCACATTGCTGAATAGTATGTAAAGATCTGTATATTGTTTAGGTTTTGTGTAAGAGCCAGATAATTATAATTATCCCTTTACAATATATGGTGCATATCTTCTAAAAATGAAACTCTATTTCTGAATGTTAAGTTTTATGAAAAGTACAAAAACAATAGATTCCAGGTGTAATGGCACACACCTGTAATCCCAGTGATTCAGGAGGCAGGAGGATCACAAGTTCAAAGCCAGCCTTAAAGCAACTTAGTAAGGCCCTAAGCAACTTAGTGAGAACCTGTCTCACAATAAAAAATAAAAAGGAAGTGGCTCAGTGGTAAAGTGCCCCTGAGTTCAGTTCCTGGTACCAAAAAAAGAGGATATAATTTTTGCTACAAAATATATTATGTGATATGAATCATGCTTTAATTGGAAACATTTGAACCAAATTCATTCAATTATGTGAACCCTAAAAGTGTAAATATTAATTTGAGTGCTAATTTTATAGCCATTAAAAAGCTTCATTTTTCTGGTGCAGACATTTCCTATTAATAAAATGAATAGTCCATATTTATTCAATTCATTTACACAGTTGCCTGTTTAAAGCCATATATAACATTGTTTCTGAGATTGATGGATTTGGAGATTGAAAATCTTTAAAAGCATTGAACCCCTCTGATGGAAATGATATCTCTAGTCAGGAATGTGAGAAACACTTGTTATTCTACAAATAATATATTGAGTTGTTTTTTTTTTTCTTAAAAAAGCTAAATAGCTTTAAAATGAGAAATGTTTTAAAGACGTTATTGATAAGAAGTGTAGTTTTGCAATGTGGAAACTCACTTTTTGTTTTTCTAGGTATGTTTCCATTGTAGAAAACCTGGCCATGGAGTTGCAGATTGCCCAGCTGCCCTTGAAAATCAAGATATGGGCACTGGAATATGTTATAGATGTGGGTCCACAGAGCACGAAATAACCAAGTGCAAGGCTAAAGTAGACCCAGCTCTTGGTATGTTCTCTTTTACTTTCTTGGGTTTTGGGGTTGGGGGAGTGACCAATAAGTAGCCAACTGAGTTTTTTGTTGTTGATAGAATTTGTTATGACACTTAATATTTTGAAATCATAAAATTTCAAGTTATGTAAAAAGAAATTATTTTAAAGTAATGTGAATTATGTAACTTGCTGTATACAGAATCAACTTAATACAAACTGGTGATTCTTACAGGTGAATTTCCTTTTGCAAAATGTTTTGTTTGTGGGGAAATGGGGCATCTGTCCCGTTCATGTCCTGATAATCCCAAAGGACTCTATGCTGATGGTGAGTACTGTTACCCTCATACATCAAACTATCAAACATGACAAATCATTACGCAGAGTTGTCATTTGATTTATTTACACTCTTAATCAGTTAGTGCATACATTTTGGAATAAATAGTGAAATCTCAAGAATTTCACAGTTTTTTTTAACAAGTGCTTTTAATGTACTGGAATTTTTGTACAATATGTCTTGATATATTAATAAGTCAGAAAAAACTAAGGTGTATTTTTCAAACATTTTTTTTGAGAGTGTGTTATACATTTGTACTTTTAAACATAACAGAAGCAGAGGGATTACATATCAAAACTAAAAGATTTTTAAAATAATGTTATGTATTTAATCTCAGCCTAGCATCTCATTTTGGTAGAAAGGATGGTATACACTACTCAGTTTTATTTCTGAATTTTTTCCTTATCTGGCATGGGATCATGTAACTTTTCTTAATTTAAGCTCAGCCAATGTCTTAAGGTCCTACAATAAAGCCTGTGATGTCTAAAACATTAGGAGGAGATTGTTAACTATTCATGTTTTGGCTGGCACCATCAGGCTGTAGACATCTCTTGTGTCTTGTGTTACGAGTTCCCACTGGAGAAGTCCAGTGCCAAAGCATAGCTTTTGGAGTCAGTCAGACTTGGGTTATAACCTAGCACTACCACTCACGAGCTACAAAACTTTGATCAACTTACTAAACTTCTTTCATCTCAGTTTCCTCACCTATAAAATGGAGATGAGAAAACTATATTTCATATTTTATTGATTCCAAGACACACATTTTTTTTTTTTTACCATCTCAAATCTAAATCAGAATAGATCTTATCACTGTTGGGTCTCACATAATTGACATCTTTTTTTCTGGGAGATATGTGAAATAATGATACATGTTATGATCAGTATTATCTTAGATTTAGTCAAGTATGGCATTTACCTATTATGAGGATTAAATTGTATTTTTTCAAGTGCCTCTTCTGTTTCACTGTGTCATATAAAATGGTAAAGAGGCTTAAAAAAGAAAGGCAAGACGAGTAAATAACATAAACTTGAAATTTCAGCCAGATTTGTATCCTTTTTCTAAGTGGCTTAATATTATAAGCATGATTATAGTAATGCCTGAACACTAAGCAATAGTGTTTTATTGTTAAGTGAAAAACTCATTTAGAAACCATGTGTGTTGTAATTCACAATCTTGAAATGTCACTTAAATAGATGGGCATTTTTATTAGGGTTAAGGGGTCTGTCGATGGAAGGTACTAAAACAAAAGTTAATTTTATACCTTTCCTAACTGCTTAATCCTCTCTGACCTGTAGAATAGAACAGTAGTGATTCCTAACCTTTGTTTTCTTGTTTGTTTGTTTATTTGTTTTTTGGGGGGATCATTGACCATTTGGGAATCCAATAAAAATTATGGACATCCTCCTCAGAAAAATGCATCTGCAAACAACTTTTGTTACAAGTCCAAGACTCCACAGACCTCTGATTGTCTAACTATGATCAAGATCCAAGTTTCTGTGCCATGGTTCTTAGACAAAACCCTTCCACCTTCCCCTCCCCTCCCCTCCCCTCCTCTCCTCTCCTCTCCTCGTACCCAGAAGGCCAAGTTCAAGAGATAGTGGTTAGATAAAGCAGTACTCTGGAAAGGTAAGAGGAGTGGAGAATGAATTATTACTAGGAATCCTTGTACCTACCTAGGTATCTGACTCCAGCTACTTTTACAGCTGACAAAGACGTGAAGATTAAATAAAATATGAAACTGCTTTGAGATATTGAAAGCCCTGTGTTAAGTATGGATAGTATTCAGTAACTTTGTTCTTTCAATAGGTGGTGGTTGCAAACTTTGTGGTTCTGTGGAACACTTTAAGAAAGATTGCCCTGAAAGTCAGAATTCAGGTAAGTCCCTGGGCCTCTATTTCATAAGGGTAGTTTTATTATTTCTCTATTTTTGCTGCCTTTTGTTATTAGTAGCTCATAGGAGTTCTACAGATCTTAAGATGACCTGCTTTCCTATTGCTGTTCTCAGAGGACAAACTGACCAATAAGCCTGAAAGGATACTGGTTTATAAAACATCTTATTCATTAATTTTTATATTTGGTAACTGATGAATTTAAATATAATGGAGCCTAAAGTCTCCTTTCACTAAGAGAAAAATCAAAATATGAAAATAACTTTCAACATTAATAGGACGGGATGCATTCATAAATGCTTTGCTTTGTGTGTACCTAAATGATTCAGAGTGATTGCAAAAACTGCCAAAAATATTAAAGATGTGTTAATGACACAGCAACTGGCTAGTTATTTTCTCCCTGATGAAATACTAGCCTGTTCATCACAACTTCATAAATGTTGGCTCTACCTATAGCTGACTTGAGGAGGTGAGGATCATCATTCCATTAGTTTGCCTGGATTAGAATGATGATGATCTTGTATTAAAGAAAGCAAGGCAGTAAGATAGCCCAGCAGTGCTTCTTGAGGAAAAAAGCACATTTCTTTTTATATCAATAAGCCACAGTAGTACACTAGTATATTTGCCTCTTATTTCTTACCCCTAACATTTAAATGTGAGACCCAAGAGTTCTTGTTTACAGTCTTGTCTAGAATAAGATAGTCTTTACTGTAGTTTAGGGAGTAAGATTGAAATGATGAAGTGGAATTTGAATTCTCCCTCCTGGGAGGATTGCCACTTCCCAAATGATAAGACTGACAAGCAGATGTTGTATAATTTCACAGGTGGAATCTTGTGCATTTAAAACCAATGCTTCATAAGTCTTGCTGTTTACAGACTCTTGGAATTCATTGACTCTATAATGATGAACTCTGGGAAAGAATGAAAGAGCTTTCTCATCAGTTTGTGCATTGCAAAGTAGTTGCTGCATTTCCCTAATTGGGATGAGAAATTGCCTGTGGTACTCTGAAATCAAGGGTTATAATCAATTACAGAATTGCTCACTTTCTGTGAGTGATGGAGTCTTCCCTCTTTGAGATTATTCACGTCAAAACTAGTTCCTTTGCTAACCCATTATCAATCTAAGTGGATGCATTTGATTAGCCTTTTCCTTATATACTGTCTTTTCTTTTACAGATCGAATGGTCACAGTTGGTCGCTGGGCAAAGGGGATGAGTGCAGACTATGAAGAAATTTTGGATGTGCCAAAACCAAAGAAACCCCAAACAAAAATACCTAAAGTTGTCAATTTTTAATAATGTTCAGCATCGTTGTTAATTACTATCACATTGTTATTTTCCGAACTGGGCGTGCTTTACAAGTTAGGCTTCCTTAGCCCCAAGAACAGTTTACTTCATTCTGTCTATCAATGAGTACTTCTACCGCTGTTTGGAGAAAATCACTGAAGAAAAGCACAAGATGATTAAATTGGATTCTCTGAAAGAACTTGTTTTTAATGGAGAAAACTTAGACAAAACTAAGTTATATAGTTGATTTTATATATATGTATGTGTATGTATGTATGTGTGTGTATATATATATATATATATATACACACACACACATACATACATAACAAAAGCATACTGCTTTGCATTTGTGAATGAATTTTTGGTCATATTGTTTTCTCGGTGTAAAATATCAATTATTATACTAGAAATTTATAAATTGCCATAAAGTCTGTATTTTTAAAATATTGAATAAAAATGCACTTGCAGTTCCCTGAATATCTGATTCTGTATTGAACTAGTCATTGTTCATTAATATCCATATAACAATCCCTTTGAAATCAAAATCTTTTATAAGAATCCTGGATGGGGATAAGCAGGGATTTGGTTTTTGTTTCAGTTTTGACATAGTTAAGGATTATTAATGTTGGGGCTGGGGTTGTGGCTCAGTGGTACAGCACTTGCCTAGCATGCATGAGGCTCTGGGTTCGATCCCAGGAACACATAAACAAATAAAATAAAGGGATTGTGCCCATCTACAGCTAAAAGAATATTTTTTTAAAAAAATTATTAATGTTAAAGTTGAGAGTTACCTCAGCATAACAGAAACTCTTTTTTGCCTTTGATTTTCAAGAAAAAAATTCTCACCCAAATTCAGTGTGTAGAATTTAACCACAATGATGGCACATAACAGATTGTATATCAAATTTAATAGCATTTTGTTTCTCATGTTTTAGATGAGTCAGGGCGAGATGAAAGTATCACCATAATAGAGTTAGAACACTAATCAGAGACCCATTAGCTTCTTTGTCTGATTTGATGAATACATGCATACTTAATACATATATTTCACAAGGCTTGACGCTACCATTGTACTGTATAATGGAATGACTCTGGTGGTTTGTGTGTTTCATTTGAAATTTTACCTGATTGAATCCATTTGTAACTAAAGGAAACAGCTGTGATTAGTTACTGATGCCTCAAAAGCAAAATATTTACCAAATAAAAAAAGAAACACTTCTCTCTGTTTTCATGTCTGCACAACTCAACTGTTCCAATCTTAATAGGAGCTGTGCTTTTATTTTCTATGTGAGAAGAAAACATGATGACAAAATACTGCTCTGCATCCTGGAGCCAAAGAAAATGAGTGCCATTCAAAAGGAATTACACAAGCAGGCAGAGAAGGACAGTAAGGCTGCCTTAATCATTCAGTCTGAATATACCCAAACATTTCACCATCCTGTCAGGAACTGAAGACTGAAAGGAGGCTTCACTCCAGCTGCAAGTGGAGAGTGCACTTTTTGGATAGTATTCAGTATATGGTGCCCATTTTGTCTTCCTTGGATCGCTTTGTTTATATTGTAATTGATCTATAAATGAGAAAGTGAGAGCATTAGAAATAAATTCAGGTGATGAATATAACTTTAAGTACAGAACCTGAAAGGAATGCACCAGAGGTAGAAATTCAGGGAAATCCTGAGTGTGTTTCTTGAAAGGAATTATAGATGTTGGGTGTTTTCTTTGCTTAGTACCGAAAAGAAAGGCTGACATTTAATTTGTTCATTTGTTATATATTTCCCAAGCACCTGCTAGGTTTCTGGTATTCTTTTAGGCACTGAGATTGTGATTATCACTAAGGCAAATGTCCATAGGCATTCAGCAGATGAGGCTGAAGAATGGAATGGAGACTTTGGGAAAACAACAGAAAGGGATATTTGATCGTATTTTAAAAATATTTTGTTGAATCTCCTAAGACTTGACAGTAGTCTTCCTTCAGACCTTTGTAAATGTCATCTCTTCTTACAAGCTTACCTTGCACTTTTTTTATGATGGACTCCTAAATCTATAGCAGCCCTATGATATTCCAGGTTTCAGCTCCATTTTCTTACCTGCCTGCTGGGCATTCCTACTGGGATGCTCCACTGACACCCCTAATAATATAGTCAAGTAAAGACAAGTCCTGACAAAGGCTTTTTTAGGGGGCTGCCAGACCAGACACACAGTATTCGTTTTCTTGGAGGCTCCAAATCATTTTGCCCTGTCCAGTCGCTCCTCATCAGCTGCTGTGATAGTGAAGCTGCAATGAGGGCAAGTTAAAACTCATGTTTTTACTGAAATTCAGACACTTTCATAAATAAATATTGTTGCAAGCCTTTTGTTAACTTCCAGAGTTCTGAAAAAGATGTATTTTAACAATGTTTGCTAGTGTTCCCATTGCTTTCATGTAGACTTTCAGAGGTCTTTCATCAGTCTGAAAGTGCTCTGCCTGCTGGAAAGCTATTGTTGTTTTTTTTAAATAACTGCTTTATTGAAATAGAATTTACTTGTCATACAATTGATTATTTAAAGTGTATGATTCAATGGTTTTTAGTATATTCCCAGAGCTTTGCAACTATAACCACAATGAGTATTTTCATCACTTCCAAAAGAAACCTCACACCCATTAGCAGTCACTCATCATTTCTACCCCACAAAGACCCCACCTGCCCCAACCATAGGCAACCACGAATCTACTTTCCTTCCCCATAAGGGGAAGTTTTAAGCAAGGAATGGACATGTCCTGACAAATGTTCAAAATCTCATTCTGGTTCCTAGATAGAGGAAAGCTGTAGGAGCACAGGAGGGCACACAGTGAAGTTGTATCTCTCGCAGTGAGGGATGATAGTGTCTTGAATTATGGTGGTGAAAGTGAAGATAGATGAGGAGAAATAGAAGTTAATTTTGTTTCTGGCAGGAGTGAAGGCCCTCAAATCAGTCTTGCCCCTGAAAATTACCCCCAAAATGTAGAATAAAGTTAATTTTTAAAGACTCCTTTAAAATATCAGTAAGTTTACAAAGAAGGGCAGAATCTGTAGAGGTCAAATACTAAGTTAATTCAAGAGCTCTAGAAGATAAGCCAGCATGTCTGCTGAACCCTAAAAACCTTGAGTTGAGCTGTCTGGCAACAAAAATTGCATACAAAATACGAACTTAATTTTTGTACTTGGGATTGAACCCAGTGACTTTACCACAGAGCAACATTCTCAGTCCTTCTTTGTTTTTTATTTTGAGACCGGGTCTCACTGTGTTGCCCAGGCTTGGTGGGAACTTGCCATTTCCTGCCTCAGTCCCAGAAGTAGCATGGAGGTCAATATAAAGCTATTAACAAAAACTGAGGATATCATAAGGTCTTATAAACTTAACTGAACAGAAAAGAGAAAACTTTTTTAATGTGTAAAAATTTTCCAGAATTTTTGCAGATTTTTTTTTTGCCTAGATATCCTTCAATAGATGAATGGATAAAAAATGTGGCATTTATACACAATGGAATATTACTCAGCAATAAAAGAAAATTAAATCATGGCATTTGTAGGTAAATAGATGGAATTAGAGAACATAATGCTAAGTGAAGTTAGCCAATCCCAAAAACCAAATGCCGCATGTTTTCTCTGATATAAGGAGGCTGACTCATAGTGGAGTAGGGAGGGGGGAGCATGGGAGGAATAGAGGAACTCTAGATAGGGCAGAGGGGTTGGAGGGGAAGGGAGGGGGCATGGGGTTAGAAATGATGGTGGAATGTGATGGACATTATTATCCAAAGTACATATATGAAGACACTAATTGGTGTTAATATACTATGTATACAACCAGAGATATGAAACATTGTGCTTTATATGTGTAATAAGAATTGTAATGTGGGGCTGGGATTGTGGCTCAGCAGTAGAGCGGTCGCCTAGCACAGGTGGGACCCGGGTTCGATCCTCAGCACCACATACAAACAAAGGCATTGTGTTGTGTCCATCTACACCTAAAAAAAAAAAAAAATTGTAATGCATTCCATTATCATATGTAAATTTTTAAAAATTAAAAAGACATGGGCAACTAGGTATTATAGAAATAAAGAAAAGATTTTAAAGCATTAGAGATAAAAATATATTCCTTGTGGGCTGCGGTTGTGGCTGAGTGGTAGAGCGCTTGCATAGCACACATGAGGCATTGGGTTCGATCCTCAGCATGGCATAAAAATGAAATAAAGATATTGTGTCCACCTAAAACTAAAATATATATATATTTTAAAAATATATATAATTAAAAAAGAAGAAAGATTTGACATCCCACTATAACAATAATGGAAGCCAGAAGACAACATGTAATATCTGCACTGTATTTTTTTTTTTAACAATGAAGAAAAAATGAAGTCATTGGTAGGTAAATAAAATAGGATTACCATCAATAGTTCTTTACTAAATAAAATTCTTAATGTTGTTCTTTGGGTAGAAGTGAAGTCATAGACTATGTAAGATCTAAGAGACAAAAAAAGAATGTTAAGAAAATATATTGGCATATTCACAGATATACTGAAATAAATATTGATGAAAAAATAAAGATAATAATGTGTAACTTGTAGATAACAATAGTGTATAAACTGGGAAAGTATCTGAATTAAAATATTATAAAAATCTTCCTATTATTTTTGTCCAGAGAAAGGATTTCAAACTTTTAAACTTTGACGGGACTCAGTGGCGCACACCTGTAATCCCAGCTGCTCTGGAAGCTGAGACAGGAGGATGGCAAGTTCAAAGCCAGGTTCAGCAACAGTGAGATACTAAGCAACTCAGTGAGACCCTGTCTCTAAATAAAAAAGACAATCCCAGTGGGATTGAGTGCTCCTGAGTTCAATTCCCAGTATCCTCCCACCACCCAAAAAAAGCTTTTAAAACTCTGTCATGGACAGTTTCAGACAGGACCAAATAAAACTTTCATCACCTGAAGTAAAGGAGGAGTGAACACCTGTTTGGCCAAGAGTACAGAAAGTGGTCCCCAATTCTCCTGGTAAACATCAAACAGTAGTAAATTTGGAGACAATGTTGTCTCCTTTGTGGTTCTCTGCCTGGAGATGGCCCACTCTTTAGAGGGTGCTTTCTGCCTAAGCCTCACTTTGCTTTTACTTTACTTTCACTTAATAATAAAGTTCTTGAATGGCAAAAACAAACAATAAAAACTTTTGTCATCGAGATGGCAAAGGTGGGAAGGCGAATTTATTCACTCAAAGAAAATGTATGGAATACCTAGTATTTACCAGGCAATGTACTGACACTGGGGATACAGCAATAATCACAGCAGAGAGAAATCATAGCTCCCAGGGAATTTACACTAATGGGGGATGACAGACAAGGCAGATAAAATGTATATGGGAGATAATGGTAAGTACTTACAAGAAAGAGAGGGTAGAATGGGGGTTC